GGGCCGCGTTTGGCTGCTTTTTCCTGGTCAGGTCTGTAGTAGGGTGACGATCTCACTGGGGTGCAGTACAAATCGCCTGTAATACCCAGCCAAGTCTAAGAAGGATTGGACCTGTTTCTTTGACTTAGGGACAGGCAAGTTTTGGATAACTTCTACCTTAGTCTGTAGAGGCTTGCTAGTTCCTTGACCCACCTGGTGTCCAAGGTAAGTCACCCTGTTTTCGCCAATTTGATATTTTTGGCCTTAACTGTGAGCCCTGCCTCCCTTATGCATTGGAAGACAACCTGGAGGTGTTGGAGGTGTTCTGCTCATGAATCAGAGAATATGGCCACATCGTCCAGATAGGCCAGTGCAAATTCCCCAAATCCAGCTAGTAGACTATCCACAAGCCTTTGGAAGGTTGCAGGTGCATTGTGCAGCCCGAAAGGGGGAACACTAAACTCATACAGCCCTGCATGTGCAATGAAGACTGACTTTTCCTTGGCTGCATCCTCCAGGGGAACCTGCCAGTATCCGCTGGTTAAGTGTAGGGTGGAGATGAACTAGGCACACCCCCGCTTCTCCAATAGCTCATCTGTGGTGGCTTTGGATAGTTGTCTGGGCGAGTTACAGCATTCAGCTTACAGTAGTCCATGCAAAGCGGATTTCTGTCAGGGCCTGGCACACGTTCCTGGCCATAATGCTCCCTAGAGCCACTGCTTCAGGCCATTGGGTGGCAAAATCCTCCAGAGTCAGTATGAACTGTTTCTCTCTGGAGGTCTTTTTAGGGAAAAGACCCATAATATCCACAGTTGCACTCTGAAATGGGACCTCTATTATGGGGAGAGCTGGAGAGGTGCTTTGACCTGGTCTTGGGGCTTCCCCACCTGCTGGCACTCCTCACAAGTCCGGACATAGCCAGCCCCCCCCTTGCCCATTCCCTCCCAGGAGAATGGCCTCCTCAGCCGATCTTTGATTCTGTTCACCCCAGCATGGCCACTCAGGTGATCGTGGGCTAAGCTCAAGAGCTTTTCCTGGGCCTTCATTGGAACTAAGTAGATGTGGGTGGCAACCTGGGCAGCGGTGGTCATGAGATGATTGAGTTCAGGATCCTGACCAAAGGAAGAAGGGAGAGCAGCAAAATACACACCCTGGACTTCAGAAAGGCAGCTTTGACCCCCTCAAGGAACTGCTGGGCAGGATCCCCTGGGATGCTAACATGAGTGGGAAAGGAGTCCAGGAGAGCTGGCAGTATTTTAAAGAATCTCACTGAAGGCACAGGAACAAACCATCTCGATTAGCAGCAAGAAAAGCAAATATGGCAGGTGTAACCCTTCTGCTGGGTAGGCCTGGCAGCAACCAGGGCCGGGTTCAATATCTAGGGGTCCAGCACACACAGAACCGGCTCGAGGCCCCACCCAGTAACCTGGGAAATTCACACACTCCTGGGTGCGTCTGACAGGCAATGCTTCCCCACTCGCACGCACAGAGTCTGAGTGTAGGAAAGAAACATTGAATGAAACAGAGAGAGAAGTCAAATGGCATTAACTTGGGAAAATACCACAAACAGAGTTCATAGCCCAAACATGAGCTAAGCCCCCACCCCCCTAGCCAAGAATCACCCGAAGTCCCAAAGTCCGACACCCCAAAAGTCTCTGCCTACGTCTACACTGGCATGATTTTCCGAAAATGCTTTTAACGGAAAAGTTTTCTGTTAAAAGCATTTCCGGAAAAGCGCGTCTAGATTGGCAGGGACGCTTTTCCGGAAAAGCACTTTTTGCGGAAAAGCATCCGTGGCCAATCTAGACTCGCTTTTCCGCAAAAAAGCCCCAATCGTCATTTTCGCGATTGGGGCTTTTTTTCGGAAAATAAATCTTTGCTGTCTACACTGGACCTCTTGT